GATAAGGCTGAGTACCTTATTCTGAGGATACTATGGATGCGGCCCACTTTTGTATATGATATAAACAGTGTGATCACTGAAATTGTACATGTGGAGACATGTGAGTGGGGGCGTCCTATGCAATGAATGATCGAACCATGAAGAAAATCACTCTCACTTTATAATGTCATTTACTGTTGAGACTGATTTTCTTTTCATTCGATGACCTAGGTAACTCGATCTTAATCCTGAGCTAATCTTGAACTTCTGTTTATTCAGAATTATCCTTAGATTTGCATGGGTGAGAGTGACTCAAGTTCGCCGACTCAATAGGCCTTCCATTTCAGGGGTAAGACTGGGCAAATGGCTGGGGACGTGGGGTGCAAGATGAAACTCACTCCTACCCACTTTTAGGGATAGAAGAGAGTTAGTTCCCTTAAGTACTGACTCCAGATCTTGAACAAGGGGCTCCACCCTCTCATTGGCCTGAGAGGGATTCGGTTTACTAGTTGGACCACAAACCAATTGTTCATTAGAGGATTAGTGAGACATAAGAAACAATAAGTAACTTCAGGGGTAAAACGGTAAATTGACCCAGCTCTAGTTACGAACAACCTGTGAAGGATTGACTTACTAATCATGTTTATATCAAATGGACATAAATATATCTATAGTGAGGGGGAGTGCAACTACTAGGCTATAGTGAAATGTCCTACTAGTTAACGAATGTTGGTTAACAAGGTGGTTAATGAGTTTAACCGGTTACTCTTGGATCGTTGGAGCCCAAGATCTATATGTCCATTAGGTCCCTCTGCTAGCTCATATCGAACTAAACCATAGAACAGTGTGACGAGTGAGTTCGAAGTGTTCGAATTCAAATTAGGGATAATGCACTACATATATACGATATATTTAACCGCATTTTTGTTTTATTTACGAATTAAGCAAAAAGAGAGAATCTGAGATATTTAAATATCTCAATCAAATATGGATCGTAATTAATTGGGATTGACATTTGAATTAATATTAAATATTAATTAAATAGTTTAATTATTCATTTAATATTACTTTAATTTGAAATTAACAATTCAAATTGATTGTTGAATCAAAATGAAGAAAGTCAAAATGTTGACTTCATTTAATGGAAAAATGCATGTTAGTGAAATTTTGAGGTGTCAAAACTTGGTTTAATCAAACTTGCATGCTTGCCAAATAAACCCCACAAGTTTGAGTGGAATTTTGAATGTCAAAATTTGGTGATCTCAAATTTGCATGAATATGCAAACATGACTCTATAAATAGAGTGATCATAATACATGAAAGGTCTTCTTGTTGGTGAAAAACCTTGAGAAAAACCTCTCACAAACGCTCTTTTCATATATACAAAATCCCTCCCAAGTTTAGTCACTCACCAGATTCCACAATCCCGTTCTAAGGCTGGAGGATAGTGGAAAAGACACTAGTGGTGGTTCGAAACCGGTTTATGAGGAAAAGGGAATTTGAACTACAAAATGTTAGTATTCAAATTCATTAAGTTTTAATACTTGTGAACATGGTAGTTATGAACATGGTAGTTATTTACTATAATTGATGTTCTAAAAATGCCTAAGATCCAAATTGCTTCCCCATGTGTTATATTAACATCATCATGTATAACAATGTATAAAAGCTATAACTGCATACGTTATTATAGCATTTATTATAGCTACAAAAAAACGCTATAAAATGTCCAAGACTTTTAATAACATGGGTTGTCACGACGTACGAAAAAAACGCTATAAAAAGTCTATGATAGTATTTCCGTAAGTTATTGTATTCATTGTTTCTTGTAGTGCACCGGTGTTTCATTCTTGTTTTTCAACATAAACACCCATATAAATCGTGAAAAATCATCCACTAGTAACATAAAAATTTGTTACCTCCATAAGTCATGGGCGAAATAGGTCCACATAGATCTCCATGGATGAGATCCAATGACTCCTTCGCATGATATGTTGTTGTTCGTGGAAAAGAAGTCCTATGCTACTTTCTAATTAAACACCCATCACAGAATTGATTGACCAGGGTGATTTTCAGCAACCCTTCAACCATTCTTTTGTCATTTAATTGCTTTAAAGAGTGAAAATTCAGGTGTCCATACTTCGCGTGCCAGAGCCAACCACCGTTACTGATATTTGTCGTTAAACACACCTGATTTGCAAGCTTCAACTTTGCTACATACAATCTGTTGTCTGGTCACCATAATAATCAGGCTCCTAGCTCTATCATATATCTTCGTCACACTGTCCTCTATGACAATTTTATTTCCACTCTCGTCCAGTTGTCCCAAACTTATTATATTGCTTTTGAGTTTAGGTATGTAATAGACTTGCGATAAGATCAAGTGTTCATCGGTTTTGCATTTGAAGAGCACTATTCCTCAACCACAAATGTCTATTACAAAATTATCACCGAAACGTACATTTCCAACAACAAATGTGTTGAGCTCACGAAACACCCTCCTTGCTCCAGACATATGGTTGCTTGCTCCAGTATCTAGGAACTAGGGACTAGGAATTTTCAGCTCCAATATTGGCTGGTGGCGGCATTATAGTTTCATTCAACATCACAAAATCAGGCTCTTTGTCATGTGTGGTTTTAATTTCATACTCCTCTATCATCGGCAATGAAGACTCCTCATCCTTTTGCATCTCTATCAAGTTGAGTTGTTCATCTTTTGTGGAACACTCTGATGAGAAGTGTCCCATCTACTAACACCTGTAACATTTAATTTTACTTTTGTCGAATTTCTTTTTTTGAGTTTGTGACTCTCCTTCATCTCCTCGATGGCAGTCACTTCTCCTACAGCCTCTCCATCGTCCATGACCCCGTCCCTTGCCTCCTTTGGAACTGGCTTGATCCTTCCATTCTTTCTTTGAGGATCTTGCATTCGCTCGTCCCTTCCATTCTGCACGAGTGAGGAGAACAGTTTCGTCTTTTTCTCCAAACCCTTGCAACCTTTCTTCATGTGCCTTGAGTGATCCAATAATCTCATTAACCGATTTCGTTTTGAGATCACTAAACTCTTCAATCGTCGAAGTGATTTGAAGAAACTTTGTAGAGGTGGATTGTAGATATTCTTACTTGTGTTTAATTGCTTGATAGCAAACCAGTTCACACTCCCATGGTTGTTTCTCAACACCTACGGTTGTTGGTTCTTTTTTCTCTGATTCTACTCTCTATAGATCTCTTGTTGGTGCCCTTCAATACTTGACCATTATGCGTTCAGATATTGCCTATGTTGTCAATTTTTTTAGTCAATTTTTGCATGCCCCTACTACGATCACTTTCTTGTTGTCAAACGTATTCTACGTTATGTCAAAGGAACACTCCACTTTGGTCTTACCTTTCGTCCATCCACTGTTCCTAGTGCGCTAGTGGCTTATTCGAAATATGACTGGGCTGGTTATCCCGATACTCGTTGTTCTACATCCGGCTATTCTATTTATCTTGGTAACAATCTCGTTTCTTGGAGTGCCAAAAAGCAACTGACTTAATCTTACGCTCTAGCTGTGAATTTGAGTATCGTGCTCTTGCCACAACTGCTGCTGAACTTCTTTGGGTTACGTGTCTTTTGCATGACCTCAAGGTTCCTATTTCACAGTAGCCCTTGCTCTTATGTGACAACAAAAGTGCTGTTTTTTTAGCTCTAATCTCGTTTCTCACAAGCGGGTCAAACATGTTGAACTAGATTATCATTTCCTTCGAGAATTTGTTATCGCTGGCAAACTTTGCACCCAATATGTAAGTTGTGCTAACATCTTGACAAAAAGTGTTTCTCGACCTCTCTATGAATTTTTTATATCTAAGCTTCACATTCGTTCAAATCCAACGCTCAGCTTGCAAGGAGTGTTAAGGATATTTGCCGAACTTACCATATTTGCCCTTTTATTGAGGCAACTAATTGTGTTCGTTCGTTTTATTTCCATATTATTTGTAATTTAATATAATTAAAAGCCTAAAATTTCCCGAAATCCTTAAATAGCTCCTAAAATAGGGGAAGATAAAAATGATCTGAGATTGAAAAGTAAAGTATTCATTGGGCGAAAATATCACTTTCCCCGTACATGAACAGTGATGAACAATAAAAGTGAATGGTAAATGAACAGTACCGCGATTTTTCAGATTTTTGCATTTTTGCTCTTCATTATTTCTCGGCTTTTAGCTCGCATTTTAGGCCTTAATAGCTCTCGATTTTTTCTACAAGCTTCTAGATTTCCTCAACACAGACCTATTGAGACAAGAATCAAGCAATTTGGTTAAGAAATGAAGGAGTAATCACGGATTGAAGTTTTTGAAGAAACCCCATTTTTACCTCCTCCTCCTACCTATGAACTCACAACCCCAAACAAACTAAAGCCCTCAATAGCTTCTCCGTTTTACATACCTCAGATCCCTCAACTCCAGAATCTCATATGGTTATGTGCTCGAATGAGCAAGTGATGAGATATCACTACGAGAAGAGACGTGACTAGATTAGTCATAAGATATTACATATTGAGGATCAAAGAGAGTGCTACATATTGAGGACTGCTTTCAGGAGTTGTCGTGAGCAAGTGGAGATCGTTGAATCTGACATTTTCGATAAGAAGCCAAAGAACAGTTGGGCCAATCAAAACAACCGATCCTTTAATTCTTGATCTATCTTTTTAAGTAGGTTGACTCTGATACCAATTACTGTAGGGTGTAGCTCACTTCTCTTTATAGATGGAGATGGAGATTTGAAGCGGGCAATGGAAAATTTTAAACTAATTGAAAAGGGAGAAGACAATTAATTCTTCTCCAATTAATGTTATATAATTTTATGAAAATCGTTAGGCATATTATTCATAATAACATTAAATTAACATTTATTGAATTAAAAATATTTTAGTAATTTCACCTAATAAAAATAAAATATAACAATTACCTAACTAAAAAATTATATAATGAAGAACAAAAAATATAAAATATAACTTTTAATTTCATGAAGAACAAAAAAGGAGAAGAATTATCGCGGGGAGATTTTTACTTGCTGTTTTCTTCCCCCTTTGGGAGGGGTATATCTGTCTAATCACACTCGACCGAAATAAGGACTAGTAAACGATGATATATATATGATACTTGGAACTCTGAAAACAAACTAAAACAACACCCCTTAAGATGATTGCTTCATCACTTGAAGCATTTGGCGTCCAACAAAGCCTCTCCTTCAAAAGGCTCATGATCTTCAATCATCTGGTTCACGCGTTCCTTTTGTGCCTCGTCTGATATATCCACCTTCCTCCATTCATACAGTTCCATGTCATAGCACTCGTCCAGGACGAACTTTGGGATCTCTTGCCCACGGAAGAGCCACAATCCCTTCACCTTAAATGGAGGTTCGGATCCAATCACTAACATCTTCCCAAAAGCATACTTACGTGCGAGATCCATCCGCTGGAGAAAGCCACCAACCTTGTTCAAAGTCACAAACGAAACAGTATTCTCATCGTCGTACTTGTAATTGCAGAACCAAAGAGAATATCCCTCTGGATCGTACATGTCCCAAAATCCTGCACAAATTTAGGAGAATGCTTGACAAGGTTCATTTTCCGTAAAAGTTTTGCATGCTTTCATGTCATCGAACCATTACTCAACAAATGACAATAAAGGTTCCCACTTATATGGCGGGTATCAATCATTGATGCAATCATTCTCCAAAACAATTCACCTGAAAGGGTTCCATACCTTTAATTGCAACCTCCCGGAAGTTGGTTTTGGTATTCGAGTACAGCCGCTTCCACTCATCCAGAATCATCTTACTGGGAGGAAGCAAATCAAGAGGATTTTTGGGTTTAGGCTTTGGTGCCTCATCCTCTCCCTCGCCAACTACCGCCTTGGGCTTCTCTTTTTCTGCTTCCTTTTTAGGTTCTTTCTTTACCTCATCTTTGTGCTTTTGCTTAGCAGATTCATCAGGTTTCTTAGCAGATTGAACAGGTGGAACTGACTCTGCCTGCTTCACCTCACCCAGAATTTTTTTGAAGTTTGGTTGATTGACTAAGGTCCAGAAGTACCTCTCAACATGTGGGAACTCTGAGGTAAAGCTCCTAGTCATTAACTTAGTAAAACCCAATAAGAGGTTGCAAGTCATGATGATGTCAGCTAATGTTACAAAATAACCAACTAGGTATGTGTTTGAAGCAAGGTGCGTATTCAAAGCTCCCAAAGCTCTCTTCAATGCAGCAATTGCAGCTTCCTCAACCTTAATACGGGAAGAAATGTTATCATATGAGATGGCATTCAATCCAGATATAACCGCATTATCGGGAAAAAAAAAATGATGAATATACAGGTGTTTGCACTCATAGAAGCTAGGACTTGACCAAGCAAGGAGAAAGATACAAAGCTCAATTGGCCACAAGAATTCAAATAATCCGAAAGGAAGCATTTTAAGTATGAACACAAGCGGAAAATAAACCAGAGAAATTAATCAAATGGCCACAAGAGGTACTTACAGGTGGAAGATAAGCAGCTCTCCCAATTCTAGGTCTATACCAAGTCAAAATATTAGAATCTATCTCTAATGATGCAAAATCAATCCATTGTTCAATATGCCCCTGAAACACAATCAGAAGCAACAAACATGATAATTAATAAGCATAATTCCCCACGGTCGTAAAATGTAGGTTTAATACAAAAAGAATAAAAATGTTAATGTAACTCATCTCACATAATCTATCGAAGATGAACCAAACAGAGGACTATCAGCCTTCAAGCGTGCAACTGCATCATCAAATACACAAACAAGTCAGTTTTAACACAATCAGTTAACCAACCCGAGGTCTAGAAAATGGTTCGCATCATTTACCATAACGGGCTATCGCATTGCTCTCAAATATGGGGCCATCGGGCGTTTCCAAAACAGGAACCTAAGAATGCGAGAAATTCTCATTGAATGTTAATTCATCTATAACAAGTAAGCAAGATCATTTTGACAATACGAATTTCCGCTTATCAAATCAGAAACCAACCTTCCCAATAGGGTTCATCTTGATAAACTCCGGAGTCTTGTTTGAGACTCCCATCTCAAAGTCTGGGATCAATTTCACTTCGACTCCATTGTACTCTGCAGCAATGAGAGCCTTGAAAGAATTTTTATTCGTCTTTCCTGCGTGTATCACCTGCAATCAAACCCAAGTCATATACATCAGACAACATTCGAGATAAAATTCTTTTGAATTCAATTCATTCAAAATTAGTTCAATACAAGTATCGATCACACACCAGTGCCATGGCGGAATGGAGAAATGCTCCACGCTCTAGCTGCAGATCTGGCGACATAACAAAATGAACAAAATCAAGTGAGTAATGAACAGTAAATGGAAATTATAAGGAAGTAGTTTCCGCCATGGCAAAGAACAATGAAAACACTTTTGATTAGCAAATAGAAGACATAGAAATCGATAATGATTACGTTGAAGATTGAAATGGAGAATTAGAGACCTGAGAGAGGAAGCTTAACTGCAGAATCACGAGAAGCAGTTGGAGGCGAAAAAGTCGAGAAGTGGAGTAGGGTTTTGCAGTTCGATGCAGAATTTCCGAAGGCAATATAAAATTTACATATATGGACTATTGGACTCCTCGTTTGTTCTTTTTATTCTTTTATTCTTTTATTCTTTTTTTATTCTTTTATTCTTTTTTTTTTTTCTCCCTCTTCTCTTAATCTTAAATAAATAAATAAATAAATATTTATTTTAATTAATAATTTTGATTATTTTTTTTTTTATTGATAGTAAGATACGTTGAAAAATGAGATTAAAGGAATTTATCTGATTAAGTTGGGCACATTTAAAAGGTATCAATTAGTTCATTATTGTCATAGTTTCATTTTCTCAAGATTCATCAACCAACTTGAATTTGTGTCGTTGGTGATATGAGTAACTGGTGACACGAGAGGAACTAGTGACACGAGTAACATATATATCCAGAAAAATGTTTTAGAAAATTGAGGTAGAAAGCGGAAGTAAGATTTATGTATGATAAATCGTGCATATTTTTCTAAGACGTTAAATACTTATAAGAGAACTGTATTTATTAAATTATTTGTGAAAAATTACATTTATTAAACTACTAACACGTTTAAATCTCCTCTAATAGACTTAAATTACCTATAAGTAATAAATTTAAATAATTAATTTTATTGGAAACAATTGCACCTATTAGACTCAATAAACACATAAACTCCAAGTGTTGCATCCCATCTCGAAGAATCACATCTCATTGTCATCGATTGTACCTACTGAACCTAACAAACACCTATATTTGAAGAGTTGTGTCCTATCACGAAATGAGAAAATAGGAATTTATTTAAAAAGTCGGGTAAGAGATCAAACAAAAGATTCTCCTCCATAGCTCATCTAATGGTCCAAACATTCTAAAGCCTTTTGATCGAGTCTAATTTGTTACCAAATTGTAATGACCCTACATTTACTATATGGACCATTACGACATGCATGACATGGACGTGTTCAAACTAACTTTTAAGTGGAAGATAATCACTCCAAAGTCTTTACAAAAAGAATATGACAGCGAAATTCCTTAAACCTGTTAGGCTGTACAAAAGAATTTCTTCAGCAACTGAGCCAAGCGCCAAAGAGAGCTCGATCATGTTCTGCTAAAGAATCAGTCAATGGCTTTAATAATCTTTCTTCCTAAAATTGCATTAACCTTGGAACTATGCACGACCGTACCTCACAGTTTTGTTTGAGCTTCATGAACTCCCAATAGCCTTTAAGAAGCCTCACCCAGCATATAATGAATGCTCAACTGCCGTTTCTCGCATGGTGAAGCAACGACTCCGTTTGACCTTTGTCGTTGCACGTCTTTTTTATCTTAGCTTTGTTGATACAAGCCTTGCGCACCCCATGCTGCATTTGTTTCTCGTGCTCCTTTAACATTTCCTCAAGGTTTCCACCAGCAGGCATCAGGGGTCCTGAGTAGTGAATTCTCTTCTGTGGAGCATAACTCTGATGAAAGAGAGGAAAAAATTCGTTATCTCGAAAAGCTTGCAAAGATCATTGAATACTTTACATCACTGGATACTTTTTACCTTAATAGACTCTTTTCCAGATGATTGATCATCTATCTTGAATGAAGATTTTGGTGTGTCTAGTAAATGGTGAGACCATACATGCTTTTCTGAAGATTCACCGCCATTCAAATGGTTATATGACACATTAAAACACTCTTCTGGCCCACAGCCGAATCGTGAACCACCTCGAACTGCAATGGAACTGGAATACCTGGACAACTTTACACCACCATGCTGCACATAAGATCTTTGTTTTCCAAGTTCTGCACCTTTGGCTCCAACTGAAAAACCTCTTAGATTATCACGCTGATTCCCGTTCATGTTTTGTGAAGAACCCGATGCAGTCGACGCCATTTGCGTTGCTTCTTTTGGGGGTTCAATGCGAAAGCCAGAGCCACCATCCTCTTCAGGAATATACCTTTCACTGAAACTTGTGGGATTATGCTGCCTTTGTTCTTCTGAATTTCACAAATGAACTAAACTATCAGCCCACCTAAGTTTTAAAATACAAAAGCTTGTATTTAAATGCATCTGGAACCATCTAATTACCTGTATGGATGCCTGCAATTCAGCATTTGCATCTGGTGCAGGAATCGCTTTTGATTCTCTGGGACACTTTTGAGCTGCTTCATGTTCAGGTGCTACACTGATAGGAGCTCTTCTTCTGGTTTTACAGATGATTTTAGCAAGAAAAGAAAGAGGCCAACTAAATATCAATAAAGAATTTACCTTCGAGATTCCTCGTCTCGGAGGTTCACGTCAAACTCCTTGCTTGGTGGGTACTTTGGCAAAGTAGAGGGATCCGAGGGAAGCGGTTTGGTGGTAATGAACTGAAAGAAAACATAACATTCATCAAGCACGCGGATATAAAGTTAAGGGATGTGAACTATTGGTTAAACGTTTTGAAAATTATATTTTACGAAACAAAAGCATGTTTAAAAGCACATAAAGTGCATTTTTAGAAGCACTCTTCAGTTATCAAGTCTTCTGAAGATTTTAGTTGCTGATGTATCGGAAATAAGTCATTTTCTATTGGGTCAGTGCTGAACAGTCTTATTCACATCTCTCTTCATAAGAAACTCAATTGATTTGATGCAATATCCACTAAAAGCTCACTTCTTGAGGCAAGCTACAGAAGATTTTAGTGCGTAAATGATTGAAAAAAGTATAATCAACAAGGTTGGAACCTTGAATGTATCTCAATTTTCAAGTCAGGTACGAGAGATAATGGTCATGATTCATGCACGAAACAACAAAAGAGGCTGGATAGGTTTTTGGAAAATGATAAAAGGTTTCATTTCAAAGCAAGATAAATTGATTTGCACCCTAAGAATCAAGGGGTTCATATTCATATTTCTTATGATATGCTTAAGATGAAAGGAAATGTCATGGATGAGGCACCAAGTAAATTGCAGAGTACCGCATGAGAAGAGAGAAGGAAGATGGTGAAAGGAAAATCATGAGAATTGGGTTAGAAGGAAGGACAAGTGATTGAAATTACTGGGAGCAGACAATGGTTATCTTTAAGCTATGCGCTCATAATGACGGGAAAAACACTTCCTTTCAAGGAGAAATTTTGTAACAGCACAAGCTCACCACTAGTAGGTATTGTCCTTTTCGGACTTTCCCTCAAGGTTTTTAAAACGCGTCTACTAGAGAGAGGTTTCCATACCCATATAAGGAGTGTTCTATCCAACCGACGTGGGATCTCACAATCCACCCCCTTAGGGCCTAGAGTCCTTGCTGGCACACCGCTTGGTGTTTGGCTCTGATACCATTTGTAACAGCCCAAGCTAGCAGATATTGTCCTCTTTGAATTTTTCCTTTCGAGCTTCCCCTCAAAGTTTTTAAAACGCGTCTACTAGGAAGAGGTTTCCACACCCATATAAGGAATGTTCTGTTCCCCTCTCCAACCGATGTGGGATTTCACAGTCAACCCTAGCATCCTCGCTGGCACACCGCCTGCTGTCTGGCTCTGATACCATTTGAAACAGTCAAAGTCCACTGCTAGCAGATATTGTCCTCTATGGACTTTTCCTTTTGAGCTACCCCTCAAGGTTTTTAAAATGCGTCTACTAGGAAGAGGTTTCCACACCCATATAAAGAATGTTTTGTTCCTCTCTCCAACCGACGTGGGATCTTACAACTTTTCTCAACAATGTAGTAGTAGCCCATTCGTGGATAACAAAGCCCTAATGAAGTTTGAGCCATCTGTAGTCTTCATTGAAAACCTCATTGACTTGATTTATCCAAATATTTTTTAGAACTGGAAAAGCTTCGCAAGGAACTTTGGTTTCCCGTTTTCTGATTTCTTTTCTTGGGTTCTTTCTCACTCCCTCTAGGATTTAGTATCCTTTTAAAAAAATTGTTTCTTTTCATTAATCAATGGGAAGTTAGTATCTCGTTAAGAAAACAAAAAACACGACTTGAAAGGAATAGAACTTTGAACAATGAAGGAAAACAAAACTCTCTCCTCTTCCACTTTTGATGGCTCACAGGATGATTCATCAGCATACTGCAAAGTCCATCTTAAGCATTCTAAGTACAGGACAAGTTTTTAACTTGTTTATCTTCAAAAACCTCAAGAAGACAGGAAACTTGTAACAAAAGGAAACATAAGATTTAGCTCATTTCCTCTTTCTTTTTCTTTGTTTTTTTACCCCATAAAACATGTCATTGAATAAAAAAAAAATGATTACCTGACTTTGAAGGGCAGAGGAAGCTGTTCCACGGCCATCAGGTTCCACCGCAAGTAGCACATCCAAAAGGGCCAATGCAGAGGAAGGGAAGTCTTTGAATGTCTCAGCAACACACCGTTTGTAAGGATGTTGAGGTTTAAAGATGGTGGCATGAGGTAATCTTGACTTTTTCCAGTATTCTTCAGACGGGGAGCCACAGAGTTTGAAGATCTTATGTAGTTGCTCCACCTATTGATGCTCACACATTTACGCCTAGTTTAATAATCTAAATTTATACTTGTTTCCTTCTCATTTTTCAATTATGATTTTCACCTTCGTTAAAAAAATACTTAGAATTCTTAGTCAAATTGTATAAACGAAAAGATCTTTTTAGGTTTTAAAACTTGACTCGGTTTTTAAAAACATTGGTAAAAAGTGGATGGCAAAACATAGACTCCCGGTAGAATTTTTGTTTATAAGCTTAATTTTCAAAAACCAAAAACCAAAAACCAAATGATTATCTTAGAAATACAATTTATAGTATCCAAATATAAAAGGGTCAAATTGTTGCATCAAAGAATTAATGTAATAAATAATTTAACATCAAACCCACTAAAGTATACATCAAAAGCTTGCACGCAAAAGAATCTTAAAACATGAACGAGAAAAAAAAAACTAGCAAAACATAAATATAAGCAATATACACAGCCACTGAAACATATTGGTAAGAGTTAATATATAAGAAAGGTCTTTAGATAAGATAATACCTCTGTTCTTCCAGGCATGATAGGCTTCCCAGCATACAGTTCTGCAAGAATGCAACCAGAACTCCACAAATCAACAGAAACTTCATAGTCCTTTGCACCAAGTAAAAGCTCAGGTGGCCGATACCACAAAGTTACCTCACGACTTGTAAGAGCCTGCTTTTTGACGGGAATGGAAAAAGGTTGATAGCCCAAAATCACCTATCTTTAGGTTACCATTATTGTCAATCAGAAGATTTGAGCCCTTGATGTCACGGTGCAAAACACCTTGGGCATGGCAATGTTCAAGGCCACAAAGCAGCTGTTGCATATAGCATTTAATCTGCACGTCAACACACATCCAGTATATTAGTCTAGGTTCAATCTTCTTGTATCATTACCATTGCTATACTAAATGAATCGAGCGTACAACCAGTTGACAAGTACAAGTCCTCACATTTTCATGAGCCGTTAAACTATTATGAGAAGACCCTCGCCATTCTTTTCACCAGCTTTAGTTCATAAAATTTATATATCGACTTCATCCTTACTGGCCAATTTTTTTTTTTCTTTTCTTTTCCTTTGCAACAGGTTTAGAAGTTGCAAGAGAGTTTACCTTTGAATGAAATCAATGATGGATTTATCTTAAGAATAGAAAACATAAATATAAGACTAAGACAGATGTGCAGGCACAACAATGGTCTTTTTCTGTATCACCTAAACACAGGATAAATATGTCCCAAGAAATTTTGAATTATACATTACATCTAAACATGTTCTTTGTACACCATGTCCATGCAAAAATGTCTCAACTTTCCATAGATAAAAGGATTGTATGCAGATTGGCAATCTAAGAGGAAATGACTCTTTAACTTCTTTGTTGCTTCCAATTGAGATTTCCATTACGTTATTCCTTAATGATCTAAAGTTAATCACTAGCTGGGAAAAGTCAATGACCTGTGCTTCAGTGAACTTGATCCCTGGGGTTGCTGCCAACCCTGCAAGATCATGTTCCATGTACTCAAATATGAGGTATAAACTGCCCGATACCCTTGAAGTAATAAGACCTTCAAGCTTCATGACATTGGGGTGGTCAAGCCTTCGCAAGATAAGAATTTCCCTGGCCATGAAACGAACGCTTTCAGGATCCATGTTAGAAAATCGCACCTTCTTCAATGCAACAATCTTGTTTGTTTCAATATCGCGGGCCCTGTACACACTGCTGTACGTTCCTTGCCCAATCTACATTCAAGATATCCAAAAAATAGTCAGTATAAACTGAGGGTAAAGACCAAGATATATATGTTAACGAAAACTGGTGTTACATTAAATTCAATAATAGTTTAGCAGCAAAAACTACCCTGGACAAATACGGGTTCAAATGTAAAAAAGAACGACAGAAGAACAGGTGACAAATGTTAAACTCTTTCTGAGGTATCTGATTAGAGGTGGTAGTATTCAGAGGTTTAACTAGTGAATCAGTACATGTATCAAGTTTAAACTTAGTGTACTATCGTGTATCGTAATGTAACGTGTATTGTAGACTCTATTTTATAATTAATAATTAAATTTAATATATGTATAGATAACGACAATAAAAATTAAGAAAGAAAACAAAGGCCATCATCTCTATTCGATTTTTATTTTATATATAAGAAAACGAGGTTTCATTGAGAAATATGAAAGAAAGTAAAAGTGCAAACAAAAAGCAAACCCACCAAAGGAGCCTCAACCACAATTACAAGAATGGACACCAATTTTAATGAACTGCTGGTTGCCTCTAGATTGATTGCCAATAATTCTCAGAAGGAAATCAAGGATGTTTTAGAAGATCCTTTAAAACTGTGGCTTCGATCAACCCGTTCATGGCAGATAAAGGCTTTACTAAGGATTGACGATAGTTCTATTCGAAAGAGCTTTGAAGGATAATGGAGATTAGTTGGAGATTTTCATTTAAGCATTATCACCCTGAAATTACTGAAGGATATGGAGGTTGGATCTCGATAAAAAAAAAAAAAAAAAAAAAAAAAAAAAAAAAAAAAAACTTACCTTTGACATATTGAGAGCTTAGTACGTTTAAAGTTATAGGTGAATATTTTGGAGGCCTTGTGAGTGTTCCCATAACTTCTTGTAATCTAAACAAGTCAAAGGAATTTGAAAAGTCATTCAAACAAATATCACATTTGAACAAGAGACAAAGATATAAACTCCACGAGGGAGTGAAAAATAGAACACAAAGAACCAAAAAAGAAAAAGATACAGAAAATAACTTACACAACAAAAACTCCAAGCAAACCGAACAAAAAGAAACTAGTGAAGAGCCTAAAGGACCAAACTCAACACAAAAGATTGCCTCTTGAAAACTTAATCAAAGGCAACATCTGAGAATCACCTAAAGACGTCTCATTAGTGATCGTAGTAGTCATCTTTGAATTTTCCTTTGAAAGATGTTGAAAATATAGTGATTGGACTAACAAATCATCAAAAGCCAGTGAACAACTATGCTGAGGGACTTCTCATCTTCGATTACTGAACTATTGAATAATGTCCAACAGAATCGAAAAATCTTTTAGATCCAAAGTGCTCTTATAAAACATCAAGACAAAAGGAATATCGATATGAGGATATTCACAAATTGAAGGGAAAACAATTTCTTTTGAATCAATAATTTCAATTGTAGCAAGGATGAACTCAATGTAAGTTGCGCTACAATCAAACAGACTTAGGGTCACTCGAATCAAACCCCCAAAGTAATGCCTTGCTGCATCAAAAGTGCATATATTCCAACATGAAGACATCTCATTGGTTTAGTACGCTTGCTTATGTCCCACTTTTCTATCTTCAAACGGAAATGACCAATGACCCAATGGACCAAGACCAACTAAAAGATTTGTATCTTCCAATTGAAATAATGTTTTTTCATCCACAAAAGAATTAATCGAAAAACATGGTTTCAAAGTGGACTTCAATGCCGATTCAATCAAGAAAGTGCATAGAATTCCAGTTTAATTAAGAACTTCTTTATCCTTATCTTTTCTTACCCAGATTGCAGATGGAGGGCTTTGGACAAAAAGAATTTGCAACCAGTGGAGGAGGAGGGTTGAATGAATCCTCCATCTAGGAATGAGTGTCGTATTTCGAAGGCTGAGAATCCTTCAAGCCAAGCTTCTCAAATTTCATGATATAATCTCTCAACAAATTCCAAAACATAAGTCAACCACGCTTTAAGAAACCCAAAGGAACACTAATCACCTTCCTCCCACCAAAATTGGCCATATTCTACAATCAATAATTGCTCCAAAAGAAAATCAACGTTTCTGAATTATAGTAATACCAAACTCATCTCTATCTTGTTTGGAAAAATTATGAGTATAGGGCGAAGCATCATTTTAACCACAGCTTTCTCAAACCAACGAAGGTGAGAGAATGAAAGAGGAATGGCTGACTTAAATTTCTGGTCTTCGAAAAAGAAAAACTCATTTTTTAACCAAATGCAATAGTAGCTCTTATCAATATAGCAACTACTACAATTCATTGAAAACCCAAGGCAAACTAGCTACCAAACAAAGAACCAAAAACAGAAGGGTAGCCAATGTACTGACAGCTTATGAAACAAACTAACGAGGCACAAACTAGTAGAAAGTGATCTACGAACAATGACGAAAAATTACTAGCGAAGGGACCAGGCTAACAGCTCAAGAGATGTTGAGCAAGGTTATAGAGAAGAGAAAGGGAAAGAAAAAAGAACAACCGGCAAGCAAGGACAGACTCCAACAGCGAACATACAACGACTAGCAGCAGCAAGCAATGACAGCTGATGGGGAGGGTTTAAGATTTTAGGGTGAGAGAAGAAAAAGGGAGGGGAAGGGTCGAAGGCTCAAGAGCTACTGAACGAGGTGAGAAAGAAGAAAAGAGGAAATAAAAAACAAACAGCGACAATTTCGAAAATTTTGAACCTACAACCGAGTAGAGATACCTTGGTTAATAAGTTATATCCATGTTCTTTCTATATCAGCATTATCATATCATAGCAACATCTTCCCTTTCCTTAATAATTAATCGCATAGGCTACTATTGGACCCTATATAATTTGATCATGAGGAACTTGTACATATTTATATTTCAAATTAGTAACCACCAAAACCAGAGTTAAACCTTTCAGAAAAGATGCAACTCGTAAGATCATATGTTTTTGACAAAAATAACAAGCCCAATCTGAATAATTCGACACTTTTTTTCTTTTTTCTTCTTCTTTTTCTTTTTATAATGAAAAAAAAAAAAAAAAACTGAACTTTCATTAAGAAAAGAATAAAAGAATACAAGGGGATGCAAAACCAAGCCCACAAAAAGAAACAGTAAAAATCTTTAGGTGGTCGGTTTAGATGGCTTCATGGTGGTTACTTAGTGATTTTGTTTTATCCTTTGGAAGATCAAGGTTTCAAAGAAGGTTAAGTTGTTTGTCTGGCAGGTCGTCCATGGTTGAGTTCACACTCTAGACCATCTCTCGTTAAAGTGGCCTTTGTTGTTTGGTCGGTTTTGTTGTATCCTCTACCAAAAGGCTGAGAAAGACCTGAATCATCTCCTTTGGAGATGCACTTTGCACGCTCCGTGTGGAGCTATCTATTGGAGGCATTCAACATTTAGTTAGCTCACCATAGAGACCTAAATGAGATGATCGAGGAGTTCCTTCTCTATCTGTTTTTTAGGGAGAATGGTCATTTCTTGAGGCATGTCGAGACGTGTGCTTTATTGTGGGATCTTTGGGGAGAGAGGAACAACAGAGTTTTTAGAGGCTTGGAAAAGGACTTGAGTGATGTGTGGTACCTTGCTAGATTTTATGTCTCTCTTTAAACTATTGGTTACGAAGGCTTTTATAATTACTCGAAATCAAATTCCTTGATAGGAGAATCATGACATCCGTTGTTTCCCTATCGGATAAAGGACAATGGAAATCGATTGAAAAAACAGAGAGATCCCAAATCGAACAAAGATCTCCGCCACAATATGATTTTTTTAAGAGGAAAAGTGGTACCTATCCCTTATCCACTAATCCTCTCAAAGTATGTTTCCTTTCCCTCCCCCCACTACACTACGAACAAGGTGAGAAAAGGGAGGTAGTTCAAAAGAGAGATCCTTCCACAAACTTCTATGTGTGTCTTTGATCCCACCCAACAACCACTCAAAGGGGTGAGACCCGTACTTACAGTGATCTTCACCGTAGAGAATGTAGACTCAAGGGGAAAACATCAAAGTAATTTCATCAATAGAGCTTTGTTACGAGTCCTTAAATTTCCAAGTTCTAGCTTTCTCAAGTCCATAGGCATCCAAATCACCTCCCAAGTAGGCCTCTCTTCCTTCAATGTGCTAGATAATTGGTTTAGAGCACATAACCAAAACAAATTTGATTTATCTTAGTGCAATAAATTTGATTTAAAGCACACACCTACAAAGCAATAGCCAGTCTACACATGGACAAAAGATATGTTGCTTCGTACGAGGAGAGGCACTAGTTTCAAAAAAATGAACATACAAATACCATGGACTACAAATCTAAGCCTCCATGAGGAAGTTTCTATTCGGACCAACTCAGGTTAAGCTCATATAACCAAAACAAGTGTATATGCAAACAAATGTTGCATAAAAGAGTGTAGAGAGCGAACAAAAAATATAAAAAATAAAACTAACCTTATCCAACTTCTGAAAAGACTCTGCCTTTCTAGGAATCAATCCATTGATTGCTTCTCCAGCCACAGATATCAACCAAGAAGGCCATCCAGCAATAACCAAAGCCCCCTCTTCCACATTAACAACATTAACTATTCTAGGTGTTGCATTATCATTATGTACTCCTACTCTCTTTGCTCCATCCTCCATAGTTGGCTGTTCTTGACGCAGTGGCTCGGCACTGGCTGCTGCCTTCTCAGCGTCATCCAATTCAGGTGTTGATCCAGCATTAACTTCCCCAGGTTGGTTAGATATCAATAGCGCCATTGCATCACTTCGCCCTCCATCAACGTGCAATGCAGGTTCTTCTTTTCTCAATGAAGCCCCAAGAAGTCTGGATGATCTATTAGACTTCAAATGCCTCTCTTTGGAATGATTCTCAGTAAAATAATCGTTTGCTGGAATTCCCTTAGAGCAAATGCAGCCCATACTCCCACCTCAGAGTCTCAACACGAAATCCAATCCTACAAATTTCTATACCAAAAGCCTAAAACAAAACCCAACTCCTTTGTCCAACAGTCTCAATGGCAAAGAATAAGAAAAACATCCACCCTCTCCCAACAGTAATCCAAAATTATCACCAATGATTCACTGCCTTGCACATATAGCATGGACAACTTGAAAAGTTCCCAAACCTTTAAAAGAATGAGATAAAATACAAATTCCCAGTCAAAATGAAATCAACAAGATCTTCACATAAAACTAGAGAAACCCAATAAAAGAGAAACAGACCCAATTACCCAACTCTCTCGATCTGTCAGAATCGGAAGAACAAAACAGGTCAATTGTGAATTGGAGAAGAGAAGGGGAGGTTCCCGATTCCCGATTCCCGGTTCCCGGTTCCCGGTTCCGGTGAGGGGAAAATGAAAATGGTGAAGACGTTGAGAAGGTGGGCATGTGGCAGTCGGAGAGAAATTTGGATTTCGAATGGAAACATCAGAGAAGGAGAACGGGGGAATTGATGACCCGCCGGAGATTTTCATTGCCGAACAGCCATTGCCGTTACCATGGTTGGATTGATTGTGTGAGGCCTTTTGTCTGTACTCGATCACTGACGCGGGGCGACGGGATGTTGGGAGAGGCGCCAGTTGGGACCCTAAGCTGCCCAAAACTCCATGTCAGTTTCACCCATCGTTGGCTCTCTTATTTTATTGAATGTCTTTATTCAAAAAAAAAATAATAATAATTTTTAAAAATATATTTTATAAACATTTTTTTACTGTTATTTTTAGTGAAATAGAAATATACATTTTTTAATACATCCCATTTCTGTATTTTGCAATAATTACAAATATAACATATATATATTAATCCTCCAACCCTTTTATTGTTTATTTAATCGATAATTAGTGATCTAATATCGCAAGTCAAGAACACTACAAATTTGTGAGAGTTCCATTACTAGAGTTTGTGAGGAGACAGGTATTTCGTATGCAAAACAACGACCAACTAAAAACTCACAAGTACACTAAAATAAAACAAGTCAAATATACAGTGTATGCGTACAACCTTAAATATAAAGTTCATTTTCGAACCATGGGATCATCAAAAGCCATTTACAAATAAATATAAGACATAGGTTGACGGGTCCCCTCACTACTTGAAAAGAAAATGTGGAAAAAATGAGTATTAAGAATACTCAGTACACGTCATACTTATTCCTTATAACATATTCTTAGACTATATGCTTAGCTATATATTTCTTAACCACCCGTCTTTGCTAGACTTTTCATGTTATACATACCTAAATCCTTTACATTTCTCCTCTAGAGAGAGCATTATCAATCTTGCGCCTTGAATGACTGTGGCTCATGAAAAGAGACCTAGTGTATATCTCATAAGTATGGATGAGTCCTTTACTCTTAAAACGGTAACCGTACTTCACACGTCTTCCTACTAGGTTCTAACCAAAAGGTCTCTCTCTACTTGTGTCAAGCAACAACTATGATACAAAATAAGGTATCTTAATCACGCCACAAAAACTTCATTGTAGATAATAAGATTGTACCATACATATTTGAATTTAGGGAGGTTTCATTATATTTTTCAATTTTAGATTATTATTTTTAAGATTTTAAATTACAACTAGTTAGTGGTCGTATTGGTATTGATAGGCACGAGAGTTACAACATTTCAATTAAACATAGATTGCTTTAAATTTATTTTCAAGCCTATAAATAGCTATTCGTGTTGTTGCATATTATACCTCTTAAGCTATGAGATTGTTCGTTTGTATTTCTTGTGTTTAGAGTTGCATACTAGAATCTTAGATTCGCATGCTAGAATCATTCGGAGTAGTCTTGATCAAGCTATTTTGTGCAATAATTAGAATAATGAATTTAAAAACGAGTTTTTTTTTACTTTTTATCTTAATCATTAAAGTGATTCATTCCAAAACTTTCTCCTCGATTGATTCCTTGTCGTTTTTTATTATTATTATTAAAGTTTCAAAACATTTAGTATAAGAGCTTCAACTTCCGTTGTTGTTTGTTTCTTACTTTTTCATTTTGAAATTTCCTCATTCTTTCTCATCTCATCACATTTTGCTCAAAAGAAGTGACATTTTTGTTATTATTACTATTATTATTATTTTATTTTTGTGTTCTATGTTCTTAAAGATCTTGAAATTTGGTGAAATTTGGTCGAAATTATATGTATTTTAATAAAGATTCGAGAAAAGATTCATTTTATTGTCTCTTTATATTTTTCCAACATGAACCAAATCTATGTTTTAATTTTTTTTTTTTTTTTTTTTTTTATATTTCAAGGAAATTTGAATGAAATC